GCAGACAGGGCCGCAAAACCCGGCAACTAAGAAGAAGCGAAACCTGCCAGGAATGCCAGGTTTTATCAACAATTTCATCATCTTTTGTAGCTTTCACTAAAAAAAAAATCATTTTTTTTTAATTTCTGAGTGTTTTATTTTTGTGGGGTTATTCAGATCCGGATGCAGAGGTGATTGCTTTGTCGCCGAAGACCCTGATGGCTACGAACCGTTTCGTGTGTGAAATTTGCAACAAGGGGTTTCAGAGGGATCAGAACCTTCAGCTTCATCGAAGGGGTCACAATCTGCCATGGAAGCTTCGGCAGAGGTCGAGCAAGGAGGTGAGGAAGAGGGTGTACGTGTGCCCCGAACCCACGTGCGTCCACCACGATCCTTCTAGAGCCTTGGGGGATCTCACGGGGATTAAGAAGCACTTCTGCAGAAAGCACGGCGAGAAGAAGTGGAAATGCGACAAGTGCTCCAAGAAGTACGCGGTTCAATCCGATTGGAAGGCTCACTCCAAGATTTGCGGCACCCGAGAGTACAAATGCGATTGTGGCACTCTATTCTCGAGGTTTTTTTGTTGCCTTTCTTTCACCCTTTGTGATACTGTTATCACTGTTTGTATTTGGAGATGTGGGGTTTGTGAAAGTTTTGTTTTTTATGAAGGAGGGATAGCTTCATCACGCATAGGGCCTTTTGTGATGCGTTGGCAGAGGAAAGTGCGAGATCTCAGCCTCCGACTGCTGCGAAGGCTAGTTCGGAGTCAGATTCGAAGGCTGTGACTGGTGATTCGCCGCCCCCGCCGCCGCCGACGGCGGGGGCAGTGGCGGCTCCGCCTCCACTGCCACCTAGTTCTCAGTCAACCAGTGTTGTTGTATTGCAGACACAAAATCCAGGTAGATAATATCCGAATCTGGAAATTGAAGTCTTCTTGGTCGTTTCTTTTGTCGCGTTTGATATGGTTAAAACTAGACCAACAAAACATTTGTTGTTTTTATGGGTGGTGTTCTTTTTTTCCTTCTCTCTCTGTGATCTTGGAGCTTACTAGTTTTTGTCTGCTATCGTGCTTTGTTTTCGTCCGTGTTGTGTGACTGTGTGTATCCATAACATCAGGGCAAGTGTAGAGATTCGAGGGCTAATTAAGTAATAAAATTATGAAAGTAATTAAAGAATGAAAATATATAAATAAACTGGTGAAAAGGTGTTCCTTGGAACTGTGGGATGTAAACTATGCAATTGTGGACAAAGAAACTCAAAAGATTCAAAAGCTAAAAAGAGAAAGAAAAGCTTTGTTTTTTGGGGGTGGAAGGGGGAGTGGATTTGAGAAAGGAAACCATTATCTGTTCTTTTCTTACCAACTTTAACATTAAAGAAAAGGCACAAACTTTACAAGTTTATGCATCATGAGTGGCTGCTTCTTCACCCCTCCATAATAATCAATAACCAATAGTAATATCATTCTTCTTATTATTAATACTACTATTATTTCCCCCCATGTTTTGATCTTTCAGAGTTGCCTGAAAATTCCCCACAAATCGTAGAAGAACCGCAGGCCAATACTGCTATGAATGGGAGCTGTAGCAGCACCAGCACCACCAGCTCAACTAGCAATAGCAATAGTGGTACTGGCAGCAGTGTATTTGCAAGCTTGTTTGCTTCATCAACAGCATCTGGAACCGCAAGCCTTAGCCTCCAATCTCAAACACCAGCATTCACTGACCTAATTAGGGCCATGGGACACCCAGATCACCCTGGTGACCTCTCAAGGCCTTCATCATCGGAGCCCATTTCTCTGTGCCTTTCTACCAATCATGGGTCATCCATTTTCGGAACGGGAGGGCAGGAGCGCCGTCAGTATGCCCCACCACCACAGCCAGCCATGTCTGCCACTGCATTACTGCAGAAAGCTGCCCAAATGGGTGCAACTGCAACAAACGCCTCTTTTCTTCGTGGATTAGGCATAGTGTCATCTTCTGCATCAACCTCATCTGGCCAACAAGATAGTATGCAATGGGGTCAGCAGCCAGTTGAGCCGGAGGGTACCTCAGTTCCTGCAGGTCTTGGACTCGGGCTTCCTTGCGACGGTAGCTCTGGACTCAAGGAGTTAATGATGGGGACTCCCTCCATGTTTGGTCCAAAGCAGACCACCCTCGATTTTCTCGGGTTGGGGATGGCAGCTGGGGGCACCCCTGGTGGAGGCTTATCGGCACTCATCACCTCCATTGGTGGTGGTCTGGATGTCACTGCTGCTGCAGCATCCTTTGGTAGTGGAGAATTTCCTGGCAAAGATATTGGGAGGAGCACTTGATATTTTGGGTGCAAGGACTGTTGTATAGAGCTATATGGTCCTTGTACGTTGTGAAGTTGCAGTTCCATTGTGGATGATTAGTAAGATATAGTATGCTCCTTTTGAGCAATGCCACAGGAAATGCGCTAATGTGTCGTTTTGGATTATCTGATGCCCTCTAATGTGGGCGGAAAACCATGTATATTTATTACCGTATATTAAAGAAAAGATCCAGAGAGCCTTCTTTCCATCAGTAATGTCACGAGTTACAATATTATGTTTGCTCTGGACCACTGGATTTGGTGAATTAAGGTGTTGTACGAAAGGTTGAAATTGATGTTGGGCTGGTGTCATAGGTTATAGTAGCCATAATGTTGCATTTGAAGACTACATCTACAGTTTTGAATTGATCAAGAAGTGAATTAATTCGTCTGTTGGATGATTTGTTTGGTCCATAGCTGTAGCCTGTAGACATAAATCAGGAAACTTTGATGTTTTCTTCTATTGTTAGCAGTAAATGGTTGGTTGAATTGAATGTTTATCGCGAATATGCATTGTCATTATGTAGTAAAGAATTATATTCCATTGAAGTTCAATTTTTCCCTGATGAATCAAAGTAAATAGCACTTCGTCTATAATTTTCTTACACATTGGATGCAATTGCAGAAGGAAGAAATTAAAGAAAGAATTTTCTGATGAATAATAATTAGAAGCGTCCCCAAGTTGCATAAGCAAACACGAGCTTTTGACATTTGTATCATTTCGGCATGAAGAAACCTGTGCAAGGCATTTAGGTGTGCGTGTGCGGTGGCCTAAGTTTTACTTTTTGGCAAAATGACTAAGCTGCATTCATTGACACAGACGGAGCGGGTTTGGTGAGGTTGAACTGCGGACCTGTTTTGATTTCACAATGAGATGTCATTTTCTTTTACCATTCCAATTACGTACTCTATAATAACGACACTCTATCATTCTATTTTACTCATCTTATCTTCTTGAAGAAAGATTCCCTTCACCTCTTCATTTGTGTCTTCCATATTTTATCATATTATTCGTTTTCGATGCAAAAAGGCCAGTTGTCTTTTGAAGTTGTGGTGGGGCAACCAGAATTTAAGAACCGATGCAATTATCAGGTGAAAATTCACCTTCAAAATTTATGAACCAGTACAAATAAGTCCTTCTTCAATGATTTTAACATTCACTTGCAGGTAAAAATAGAAATAGAACAAGTCACGTAGCGAGATAAGTTGCATAGATATTATTTACGCCACATTGGTAAAGGCAACAAGTCTCAACTCACAATAACAGATTTGTTTGTTGTGTTTGTCATAAAAAAAGAAGAAAATTTATCTGTTGTGAACAACGAATGGTTCAATTGTTTATAAAAGTGTATTGACAAAACTACATTCAGCCCTGGTTAAAAGCCTTTTTTTATATTATTTTTATTTAACTCCCAACGTTTTCCTTGATATATATTCTTGTATATTTTGAAAAATTTTATATTTATTTTATAATAAATTTTAATCACACTTATGCATTTAATTTTTATCAAAAGGAAATAAACACGACTTTTTTTCCCAATATAATAGTACCTTTGAAAAATCTATTTCCAAAAATTTTCTGCCTATCCATCATCTAAGATGTTTATTTATTCATTTATTTTGCTATATACCATGTTTATTAATAACCAGTCGTTAATCCGAGTAAAATTAAATTGGCTAAAGTCTTGAATAAGAGTATTTTAAATGAAAAAATCATGGTCAAGATGATCACTAGATGAGCCGGTTGTTCGCTAAAGAAAAATAGATGAAATGAAATAAAGGATCCAGAAAAACCTTGTTGACCATTACATGGTCAAAAACAACACCCGAAGAAAGATGCCATATTCCTTACTAATATGTGTTTTATTTTTTCTTTGTTTTTAAGGTAAATAAAAAAAGAGATAGCCAGCCAGACAGGAGAGAGAGAAAGAGAAGTAGGAATTTGATAGCGTTAAACTTAAACTGTGTCCCCACGCTTTTTAGGTTTTTTGTGGAGCTGGTCTCAAGTTACACACCCACAGGCCACAGCAGAAGACTCAAAAAGCGCCGAAAATTTTCAACATAATTGCGCGCTTTCATAACCGGTAAGTAAGAATGATTTTAATTCTTCAAACTTACTCTTCACAATTCCGCCATCAATATGATTTCGCTCTCCTCTTAGTGCCATACCCTTTTGCTCTCGACATCCGGTCTCGTGTGGTGTTTTTTTCCATGAAGTTGAAAACTTTGAATAACATTTGTTCAAATTTCAATATTTCAGATTATGGGTGCGGTTCGTTTCTCTTTCTCGTGAAGCAAGGTTTGGTGGGGGGTAGAAAAGGAATGAGTTTTTTTAATTCAAATCACACCCAAAGTTTAACATTCTTCTTAAAGGGGGAAACTGAATTAAGGGCATTTTGCATAAGGGATTAAGATGATACCTGGCATTCTCTCAAGGCTGAATGCCACCATTTACTGTCGTATTCGGGAAGCAATAATAACACGGCAACAGGGAGTGCCAATATCCTTGTATAGGAATTCAGCTCTGTCTCTTTCTTCACTCCATTCAGCTTCCTTTTTGCCCTGTTCCACTCCATGCTCTTCAGCACTCAACACAAAATCAATGGCTACTGCCTCGCATTCCAATGCTCTGCTGGGAGATGTTTATGTTGATGGATTAATCTCAAGATGTGGCAGTGTGCTAGACTACACAAAGCCTTCTGTTGTGTACTGCAATGACAGAACCCATAGAGGTGGCCTGAGAGCTAGTGTGAATCTAAGGAGATCACAACCTTTGTATGGTTCTTTGAGTTGTGGATGTTCCTCTTTGGATGTTAATCGGCGGATCCGGGGTTTGAGTTTGCTTCCTGGGTCGTGGCTCAGGAATTTTTCTACATCTTCTTCTGCTTCCTGTCCAGCTGGGGCAGCACAGGATGTCTCATTTGGTGGCAGCACTCCTGATGAACAGCTTGCAAGTTCCTCTTATTCGTCTGATCTGTATGTGATTGTTTTTCTTTATATTTTGAAAATTCTGTTTCTGCATGAATTGCTTTTAATAATTATATAATTTGGATGCCGATTTCAATGCCATGAAGGAAGCTTAGCTTATTCATAAGATGATGATTCTGTTGTAAGTTTCATTAGTGACACTAGCTGTTTCCATTTTTTCACATTCTGAATGATTTCCGGTGAGAGTCCAATTCTGCTTTTCACCAGTTATTTGAATAGCTTGTTAGCTGATGATTATACTTATAAACATTGTGTTATATTTTTCCCTGCTGGTACTTACTTATTCTGAGTATTGTGTATTGTTATTCTCAGAACTACTGTTGGTGGCAAGATCTTGAAGATGATTTCAGGATCTTGTTACCTACCGCATCCAGATAAGGAGGAGACTGGAGGAGAGGATGCTCATTTTATTTGCACAGATGAACAAGCAATTGGTGTTGCTGATGGTGTAGGTGGCTGGGCAGATGTTGGTGTTAATGCAGGACTGTTTTCCCGGGAACTTGTATCCAATTCAGTGAGAGCAATTCAAGAGGAGCCCAAAGGTTCTTTTAATCCAACAAGGGTGTTAGAGAAGGCTCACTCAAATACAAAGGCCAAGGGTTCATCAACAGCTTGTATCGTTGCCCTTACTGACAAGGTATTTTATTTTTTTTATTCTGAATTTTGACAATAAAAATAGTCTGGTCCATTGTGAATGAACATAATGAAAGTTATTTTTTACAAGTTTACGTGTGTCTGGTATAATGGAAATTGTGGTGGTCATGAACCATGATATACATTTTTTGTTGATTTTATCACTAATGTTACTTTAGATGTTACATCACCCCAACACTTTGTATTTCGAAATGCATGCTATTTGAAGTAAGATTATGTACAAAAGCAAATGGAATTGCAGATTACAATTATTATCAAATTCTTGACTGGTATTGTGTCTCTCGCCTAGCTATTTTAAAGTCAAAACTTAAGTTGCTTCAGCATAGATATAGAGTTAAAGCATGCTAGGAGTTCTACCAGCTTTTTCATGATTGAGTGATGTTTTGCTCAAGAACTCTGACATACATATCATCATGTGTGCAGATACTTGTTCTTAAATATTGTCTAACCAGTTCCTAGGTCTCAAGTTCTTGTGTATAATGTCTGATTGGTGTTTTAGCTGCGTCTTGATGGAGTGAAGCTCACCTCATTCGCAGCCAGTAAAATTTTTGTTACTTGTAAATTTGGTGGGTTGCACTTTTGAGCTAGTATAAAAAGGAAATTGTAACATCAACTTATTAATTTTCATCTTGGTCCAGGGACTACATGCTATTAACTTGGGTGACAGCGGATTCATTGTGGTTAGAGATGGATGCACCATTTTCCAGTCCCCTGTTCAACAGCACGACTTCAATTTCACATATCAGTTGGAGAGTGGCAATGGTGCGGATCTACCCAGCTCTGGTGAGGTAAAGTTCACATATCAACATTTTTATTAAGATCTAGTTTTATTTGTTTCCAAATTAGCATGTTTTCTACTTGATACAGTCCGTGGTAGAGGGGTGGAGATTATTTGGTATTGTCCCTGTTCTGTGCAAGATTTCACGGGTAGGAAAGGTGGAAAAATTGTAGGGGAGTGAAAATGGAGAGATTTTGATTTATGCTGAATGGTACCTTGTAAACTTGTAGAAGGGGTGAAAAATTAAAATAAGGTACATTTAGTTTCCATCCTTAACACATTTTTCCAACACCAAACAATTGTAAAATGAAGTTTTGGGCCTATTTTCTTCATTCACCTATACAAAGCAAATTTTTGTCTGGTAGAGCATTCCTTTTTAGTTCTCCCACCATTATGATCCCTAGTATTATTCCTTAGGTTGCCTAATGGAAGATGAAGTTCATATTCTTAATTCTTTTCTGTAAAATGAGTATGTCAATTGTGTGCTTATATGGAAAGTCACACAAACTAAGCATATCTTTTTGCAACAATGTATCCAGGTTTTTAGCATACCTGTTGCTTCAGGAGATGTGATCATTGCTGGAACAGATGGCTTATTTGACAACTTGTACAATAGTGAGATCACTGCAGTTGTTGTGCATGCAATCAGGGATGGACTGGAGCCACAAGTAACTGCTCAGAAGATAGCAGCACTGGCTCGACAGCGAGCACTGGACAAGAGTAGGCCAACACCATTTTCTACTGCTGCTCAGGAGGCTGGATTCCGTTATTATGGTGGCAAACTTGATGACATAACTGTTGTTGTGTCATACATATCCGACTAAAAGTCTGTATGGATAAAGTCTAGAAGAATTTTTAAGAATTTTATTAAAAATAAAATTTATTTTTTAGTAGAGTAGTTCTTTATGCTTATATCCAAACGTCAGAGTGAGTTTTGGGCCATCTTCACTTTGTATATTCATATCTGTGCTACATGTGCTGTTAGGCTTGCCTATCACTTTTTAAACCGAATGAACTCATTTGTAACATGTTCTCTCAAACTTGAGCTGTCAATTTTGTCATCACAAAAGGGTCATTGCGGTTTTACTTCCTCCCTTCTATCTATACAGTAATATAAATTAGTAAAACTTATTTCAACTAATTTTATTATTTATATATGATTTTCATTTTTGCTGATTTGGGATGATTAAGATGGAATAAGAATTTTTTTTCTATTCTATCGTAACATGTCTAAAAAATGAAATAAATGTTTTATTTCATTATGTCCATTTCACTCCACTATTTTGTTTTATCTCTTAAAACTGGAAGATAGCTCGGTGGGTACTGGATGGAGCAGAGACATGTAATGATGTAACATAAACTTAATTTTTGAAAGTGTATTTTAAAAAGTAAAATTATAATTATTAATTATCTTATAAATGTATTCATGACAAATTATTATATTTGCAACGTTGTTAGATATTTAATGGTTATTTTATAATTCAACTTTAATGACTGAAGTTGTTAAAATGTAGATGAGACCTTTTTTGACAAAAAATATAGATGAAACTCTGTATTCTGCAGTTAACATTAATATTTTATCTAATAAATTTTATTTTCGTCTCGGTCAAATGGACTAATGGAGAGAGATTTTCCTAATAAAATCTCAATGAATAGTAGTACCAATGGTAGGTTTTATTCTAAAATTATATGCGTTTGTGTTTTTTTTACAAGTATTTTTCTTAAGAAATAATCTTGTCCAAAGCACTGTATTATACTTAACAGATATTCAAGTTTTGATTCATAATGTTATAAAAGCCTGGTTCCTTCCGTGAGATCTAACTCCATTGCTAAATTATTATGCTTAAAAAGTTAAAGATTATAACGGCTATTATAAATCTACTGTTCATTGGCTTTAGTAGCAAGCTGCAATGTAGAGAAGCTAAATTTATTTATACTATCACCAACAGGTCACGTGAAACATTCGCCTTCAACCTCGTACCATGCATAAAACACAAACACATGCAAAACGTGCAAAACGTGACAAAGGCATCTAAAACTCTTATTGCACTACACACATCAGAACCGAAAGTCTAAATTCTAAGATGGAATCAAACATGCCTTATTTTCAGAACTCTCCTTCCTTCAAAGCTGATTCTGTGGCTTTGGTCTTTTTTATCACCCTCTTGCTCTCTTCTTCTTTCCCTCTCTTCTTGCTGTTTTCTGGCCTCTTCTTGCTCCCACTCTACACCTCGACTTTCCCTCGGTTCTTCTCCTCTTTCCCCTTGTTCCTCCTCCTCTCTCTTCTGTTGTTCTCTTCCAGCCTGTTCTTGTTCTTGTTCCTTCCCTGCTGTTTCTTCTTGCTCTCCTCTTTGTTCTTCCTCTCTTTCCTTCTCTTTTTCCCTTTCATGCTCTCTTTTACTCTCTCTCTTTTGTTGTTCTCTTTTAGCTTGTTTCTGTTCTTGTTCCCTTACTGCTGTTTCTTCTTCTTCTTCTTTTTCTTTTTCTTTTCTTTCAGCTTGTTTTTGTTCCTTTTCTTCCTCCTCTTTTTCCTCTCTTTTAGCTTTCTCCTCTTGTCTCCTTTTTTCTCTCTTTTCTTGCTCTCTTTTACCTGCTTCTTCCTCCCTTTCCCTTTCCCTCTCCCTCTTCTCCTGTTCCTTACTAGCTTCTTCTTCTTCCCTTTCCCTTTCCCTCTCCATCTCCCTCTTCTCCTGTTCCTTACTAGCTTCTTCTTCTCTTTTAGCTTGTTCTTGTTCCTTTTCTTCCTCCTCTTCTTGCTCTCTTTTAGCTTTCTCCTCTTGTCTCCTCTTTTCTCTCTTTTCTTGCTCTCTTTTAGCTGCTTCTTCCTCCCTTTCCCTCTCCCTCTCCCTCTTCTCCTGTTCCTTACTAGCTTCTTCTTCTTCCTTTTCCCTCTCCCTCTCCCTCTTCTCCTGTTCCTTACTAGCTTCTTCTTCTCTTTTAGCTTGTTCTTGTTCCTTTTCTTCCTCCTCTTCTTGCTTCTCCTCCTGTCTCCTCTTTTCTCTCTTTTCTTGCTCTCTTTTAGCTGCTTCTTCCTCCCTTTCCCTTTCCCTCTCCCTCTTCTCTTGTTCCTTGCTAGCTGCTTCTTCTTCCTTCTTAGCTTCTTCTTCTCTTGCCCTTTCCTTCTCTCTCCCAGCTTCTTCTTGCTCCCTCTCCTCCTCTCTCTTCCTCTCCCTCTCTTCTTGTTGTCTTTTAGCTTCCTCTTCCTCTCTCTTCCTCCTTTCCTCCTTTTCCCTTGCTTCCTTCTCTTCCTCTTTTCTCTTCCTCCTTTCCTCCTTTTCCCTTGCTTCCTTCTCTTCCTCTTTTCTCTTCCTCTCCTCTTCCTCTTCCTTTCTCTTCCTCTCCTCCTCCTCTTCCTTCTTCCTCTTTCTCTCCTCTTCCTCTTCTTTTCTCTTCCTTTCCTCCTCCTTCTTCACCTCTTCCTCCTTCATTATCCTCTCCTCTTCCTCAGCGCAGGAACTACACCCGAAAACGATGGAGTCATCGTCAGAACTTAAAAGCTGGTCAATAGTTCTGTTACTCACACCAAAAGAGGTAGCCAGTATCTGTTTGTCTAGAACATGAAGCACTGATCCCTTTCCCGCCAAAAACTGAGGACGGTTTTTCTTTGCTGAAGTGCTGAAGCCAAGAAAAACAAACGGTCCATCGTTGAATGACATCTGAGCCATTGGATGAAACCTAGGCACCACAAAAGCATCCCCTTCATTAACCTTAAACCTCATGTTTTGGCATTCTGTCTCATCATTGCTGATTCCACACACTGCTCGGACCATGCCTTCCCCTTCCAATACCACCGACAACTCTGTTGCCTTTGGGTTCCAATGAGGCCCCAATATTGATCCCTTCAATTATAGTAAGAAAATAATTTTAATATAACTTCATAAACTTGTGTACAATAACAAGTATGACAAAACTTAGGTATAGTAACACACAGATATAGTAACAGTAACACCTGTAGTGATCTCTGACTTTACTCGGAAATATATTGAAAACATAATATATTTTTTATTGAAGTAAAACTCCGATTTCAATTTCAAATCTGATGGAAGAATAAGACTAAGAATAACACTAACAGTACTGTAATTAAGTTTTGTACTAAGTATGAGTTACTATAATCACTGACCAAGCTCAAATGCACCATCAGAAATCCAATGTTGGTGCGCTTCAATGATTTTAGTTGCTTTTTGGTCACTGCTATGCTCCATCCATCATGGCTTTTGAAGTCAGGGTTATTTTTAAAGATGTTGTATGTTTTTAGTTTCTTGGAGTTGGACCCAACGCCTAAAAAGTTTTTAAGAAACGAAACCTCCAGTTCCCGGATAACATTCCTCTTCTCTGAAACCGCATGCACTATAGCTGGGGTGTTGCTCTTGTTAATGATTTCTTCAATCACATCATCCGGTACCTTAAAAAAGAATCAGAATTTTGAGTTTCCAAAATTCCCAATAATGCAACAATAGACTCCTAAGATTGCAAAAACAAAACGAAATTTGTGTAAAAATATAGCCATATGTTTTGCAACCTTCTATTTTGAACCAGAATACTTGCACAGTTGGTTATTGGAGGCTAAAGTAATACCTTCAAAGCTGCTTGCATGATTTTCTTATCAAAGCCCTTGACCATTTCACTGATCCTTGAGTAAGCACCGATTGATGGATCCTGCATTTGTGGTTAATGTGAACTACAGCAAACAAGCCTTAAATTTCTTTAAGTTCAATGAAAGAAAGAATACATATGCAGCACTTACGAAAGTATTGTCTTCTGTATTGGTAAACATTGCATAAATCCTAAGTTTCCTTCTCTCAGCATCTAAGTTGCTCTGTATGTAGAAAACAGATCCTTCATTGAGACTGCAGAGATCTCCTTCCCGTAAAGGGATGCTGCTAGTACCACCATCATTTGCTTTAGTTAGCTTTCCACTCCCTGCAATCCCCAGTGAGTTGAATGTGTTGAAATTAATTTTTTTATAGAAAAATATTATACATGTTCCCCTATATTATCTTGGAAATATGAAGAAAAAATGACAATTGTTATATATCTGTAATAACAGTATGAACACTATAGTTTGGAACTGAAAAGTTAACTCTCAATTGGTTTTATGCAGTATTTAGCTAAAACTTGTAATCAAAACGGGAGAGATCTTTTGGCCGAATAGCTGTTTAATGCGTGCCAAGTAAAAGGTATTCTATCAGTTAATTTCAATGTAGGATAAAAGTAAAAACATAAAAAGGGTAATTGAAAGAAATGGACCAAAAGCTGAGTCATGAGAATACTGTGGGCCAAGGTTTTAAAATACTCTGCTTATCCAAAATATCGAGCAATATCAATAATCAAAACAAAGTTACATTTATTCACAATTTTCCACATTAATATAAGACATGGCGACAAAATTACATAGCTATCACAATTAAAAACCTTGAATATGATGTGATTAGAATTTAGAAGTTTAAAGGGCATGTACCTGTATGAACATAAAAGACCATGTCTGCATGGAGAAGCACAGGAAGAAATAGCGAGTTTGGCTCCAACGTGAAGAACTGAAGATGGTAGGGTGGTTTCTCTGGTCCTTCCTTGATATCAATGGCAGTGATCTCTCCATATTCAGTGGCAAGTAATGTCCTCCTCTGGTCCTTTTCCACCACAGATCCTTTCTGAAGCTTGACATGATGATCTTCACTTAATGCACTCACTCCACACAAGGAAATAGTAACAAAGAAGAAAAAGACTCGTGATAACGGCGAAGCATTGCGAGGCTCCATTATCAACAATGTGAGATGGAAACTGTGATTATGCAGTTTGCAAAGGTGGCTCTATATAGTGTAATGTGACCAGCATTTTATGGGGTGCGTGTCTTGTTTAAAGACACGTCATGCAAGTTTATACAGGTGGCAGTTTACCAAGCAATTGTGTATACCACAAAATTCCAAACACTTGAGAATGAGATCACTATGAATCTGTCATCTTAAATTAGTAATTTTATTTTGTTAAAAGAAACTGAGGCACCCTCCAAATTTCGTCATACTAGAATAGTTAACACAAACAAGAATAGTTAACACAAAGACTACTTAAATAATTATTAAGAAACTAATGGTCATAGAAATGCTACCACTCTTCTTTCAATTAGTTATATTACTAAGATGATCATGCTATCAGAGTCAAAGCCAAATATTACATTTAAAGATGTTGAAACACTTTGTGATTTTAAAGAGAGATAAAAATTTGATTGGTGACTGTTTATTTTAATAATTAGTTTACATTTTGAAATTATTTCATTTTCAGTTTAGTCTTAAAACTTATTTAGTTGTATAAATTAATTATTGAATTCATAAAATTCATGTCATGTCGGTATTTTACATTTTATTTTAATCACTTGAAAATTAAATTAATACTAAAAATGTAATTCGTACACATAAATAAAATTGCAGGTGCATGTAAATATTACAGTATTTTTTTTTCGCAAATGACATTTATTCTTATAAATTATATATTATACATTAAATTTAACTCCTGATGTTTAATATATGTATTACAGTAAAATTTCCACAAAACATTTATTCTTATAAATTATATATGATAAATTAAATTTGCTCTTAATTATATTTTTAGTCTAAATTTGAGATACATATTTTATTATCCTCTAAATTTAAAATTTGTATTTTTAATTTTCAAAATATTAAAAATTATTATTTTACTTTTTAAAATTATTTTAAATTTATTTTTAGTCTCTTGATTTAAAAAAATATATTATTCTAGTCCTTTAAAACCACTGATAACATAATTTAGCAGAGACTAAAATATTTTAGATATTTTATAGATTAAAAATATAAATTTTAAATTTGAAGAATAAAAATAATTTTATACTATATTATATTATAATTTTTTCCATTGAATCAAATTAATACATATTGACCTAAAAATCAAATTGATAGATATTCAATACTATACTATTATTTATATATTTTATTAATTTAAAACTATTTAGGTGAGATTCATGGATGGGCTTATTCATAAAATTATTTTATTGCAAGTTTGTAATAAGGGAAGGTTACGAGTGAGAGGAGGGCAAAAGCCCAAGCCCAAGAGTTCAACGACACAGTCTTCTTGCTCGTTGTGCTGCTGCTAGAGTGCTAGGTATTGTTCTTATGCAGAGTTGCACTTTCAACCTTACATTTCTTCACACTCACTCACCAATACGCTTCTTCACAGGTAAACCATCGCGCTATTCGCTGCTACGATATTGTGATTCTTTGGAATTTCTTACTCTCTGCTTTTGCTGCCATTGTTTTCGCTTATGAATTGCAACTTCCACTGTTTGTTTTGTTCTAGTTAGGGTAAGAGAAACGCCAGCGAAAAGGAAATTTACATTTCTACACTTAACAATTTTCCTATATTTTTAGTTTCATTTCTACCATTTAAATTGGTTTAGCATTTTTCTTTTTCTTTGATTATTGGCTCTATTATATGATTTAGTACTACTTTTCATTAAATTTAGTTGCCTTGTGGATTTTGAGAGTTGCTTTTATTTAATCCTGGCACTGGTTGCAGAGAGCTGAATTGCGAATACAAAACAGATGGTAAATTACAGGGACTTTATCATTATAATTTCTCTTATTCTTTTTTCCGTTATAATCTGTTTTTTTTTATTTTTTATTTTTATTGTTAACATCTGGTTATCTCAGTATTCATCCTGTCTTTCCTTTTGCTCTATTCAATCTTTGATTTGGGTAATATTGTTCACTATATGTTTGGTACAATGCGACTTATGAACAGGTCCACATGCCAGGCTCTCTAAGGGGTTTTCCTAATCTTGTATCTTCCTCCCGGATTGAAAAGCTAGTTTCTCTCTTACATTCCAAACAATATCTGTCACCATGGCTTCAGTCTGTACGCCATCTTAGCTTTACCGATGATCACGGTAAACAACCTGCTGGAGAATCTGATGACTTTTTTTATCCACAGTCAGACTCAGGTTCAGACTATAGCAACTGTACCAACGAGGCATACAAGGTTGAACAATGTTTGTCGGAATCAATTCCAAGTAGACCTTTGAGAGGTAGGGAGCCAATTAAGCAGCATCCACATTTCCGGGGATATGATAGAGGTTCCCATTCCTTCCCTCTCCGATTTGATGACCCTGATGAAATGGATACAAGTAATAAATCTTCTCAAATTAATCTTGCATTTGAGGGCACAAATGTGGCAGAAACAAATAGGGATGCTGGTCAATCAGGAGACAGTTTCCTTGATAAATTCAAGCTTGGTTTTGACGATAAAACAGTGAATCTGTCAGATGTTGCAGCAGGCAAGCTATCTGAAGAAGCAAAGAGGTCAAATCACAATCAACCAGCTCAAGAGTCTATGCCTCAAGATGCTGATGAGATCTTCAAGAAGATGAAGGAGACTGGTCTTATCCCCAATGCTGTAGCCATGCTCGATGGTCTATGTAAAGATGGTTTGGTTCAAGAAGCCTTGAAACTTTTTAGTTTGATGCGGGAGAAGGGAACCATTCCAGAAATTGTCATTTACACAGCGGTTGTGGATGGATATACAAAGGCCCACAAGGCTGATGACGCCAAAAGGATTTTCAGGAAAATGCAGAATAATGGCATTTCACCCAATGCTTTCAGTTACACGGTCCTTATACAAGGGCTCTACAAGTGTAGCAGATTACAGGATGCGTTTGAATTTTGCTTGGAGATGTTAGAAGCAGGGCATTCTCCAAACGTGACAACTTTTGTAGGCCTAGTAGATGGTTTCTGCAAGGAAAATGGTGTCGAAGAAGCTAAGGGTGCCGTCAAAAAAATAACAGAAAAGGGTTTTACTATTAATGAGAAAGCTGTCAGGGAGTTTTTGGACAAGAAAACACCATTTTCACCCTCTGTTTGGGAAGCCATCTTTGGGAAGAAAGTCCCTCAGAGACCATTTTAAATATCTCAGATAATGTAAGTTTTTATCTAATTCTTTTACTAATTTGTCAGACTATTTTCTGTCTTTATGTAATTTATTCTTAATTTTGGTGTGCCTATTTGAATTTGCCATAAAGGGTTCAACAGGTAGTTGTCGTTTTTTGAATGTACTTGTCCTAAATTAGTTAGTGTTTGAATGATTTTTTCACTACTTTAGTAATTCAACTTCTTCTCTCAGTCTAGAATTTTGCTAGCAGCTGATAAACTCAGTAGGATCTAAATGTGTTTCAGATCTAAATATATTTGTACATCTGAAATGTATAAATATAAGAACTCGTTTCAGGGTTCATTTTATTAAATGAAACCATTGACCACTTCAATCTTCTCTCAATTTTTCCCTTTGTCTTCTTTTTCTCACTCCATCAATTTTGCAGAAGTACTTTTCCATTTCTATCTGGTATTGATTGAGATTGTGGCATAATCAAATTTGCAATGGAAGCAATAGGGATCCGCTCTTGTTCTTGTTGTCCCTTTCTTCACTTTTGGACTCACTTCTCACTCGTGTAGTTCGTTGCATACTTGTGGTAGCTTTGGTATAAGATACACAATTTCTTAAAATTCCAAACTTGTACTAAGGTTCATCAGTTTTGATCTGAATTTCAAAGCACAGAGAAAGGCTCACACTCTGTTTCTAAATACTTGTTGCGGATAAAGGTTCTGATTGAATCCTTGATCTTCGTAGTTTTTCCTGTACTACCTGATGAACGCATTGATGTGATATTGGATGGGTTATTGAGGGAATGTGATGCTTGTTGTGGCTTCCATCTATATAGTAGATTGGACCCTTTGTAAGTGAAATTGAATATCTCCTTACATGTGAAGATCGGGTTGAAAAACAATCTCTCAAATATCTTATGTTAATTTAGCTTACAAGAAGCAAGTAGGTGTTTTTCTGTGTTTTTGTGTTCTAGTTTTTAAAAACTATTTTATAAAAATTTTCAAAAATTAATTCGTAGAAAGTAGGAATGGAAGAAGATGAAAAATCAAAACAACTTGATGTTTTGGTCTTTATTTTATAAATTGCAAAAGATATATTTTTACTTAAAAATATAGTTTTAAAAATAAGCAACTGGGTGCTAAATTCATGGCTTGTCCTTCGTCGTTGCTAAGTTTTGGTGCAAATCTGATTCCAACCTCAGTTATTTCCGATGATGGGTCTCTTCTTATTTTCATACCTTTTAAATAGGGGTGATATAATAGTCAATTTAACCTAATTTAACCTTGCTTATTTTTGGCTTCGGCTTGTCCTAAAACAGGTTGTATTGCGATGGTTATTTTTTATTTTTTTTTAATAACTACAATGTTGGTATGATGTATCTACTTGATTAAGAAATATAAATCCTCATTACTTATGTCAGTTAATATTGATTGTGATAGACTAAATCTATAGTTGATGCGAGTTAAAAAAAACTTGATTCAACTAGTCCTGAATATTTATGGGTTAAGTTTGCTTAATTTGCCATTATTTAGAAAGAAAAAAAATGGATTATAAGATTGTGACTTATAAACTGACTTACCAAATAACTAATTACATAGAACAAAAAAATTAAAAAATTAAATTTTAAATGCAATGTGTATCCATTGATAACATGCATTGGCCAAGAGAAAAAATCACCCCTTTTGACTAGTGAGTAGGGATGGAAATAGGTCAAGTCAGATTTTGAATATATATAGGTAAGGTTTTTATGCAAAATTAAAGTCTAAGTTTGATTTATTATCTATCATAGGTCTTTTTTATAAGTTTAACATGATATTTTTGAAATCCTGTTTAAATTATTAATGTTTGGAAGTTTGGCCTATTAGCCTATTTAAAAGGTTGTTTAAATTATTAATGTTAATTAGATCAATAAATTTAATTTTTAAAAATAAAAAATATATTTTTAAATATAGTTTACTCAGCATTATTAAAATTTAAATTTTAAAAGAAATATAGGGGAAAAATTGAATAATTTTCTATTGAAGGAAAAATTTATCTGTAATTATGTATGTTATAATATATTTAATTAATAATTTAATATTTATAATTAAATATTAATTATAAAAGAGATGGTTTTAAATTTAATAAAAATTGAATTCAATTTTTTAATATTTATTTATGAATTATTTAATATTTATTTATGAATTATTATTTAAAAATTTATGTTAAATTTACGTTAACGATAAGATCTATTATCATTTTTTGCATCTCTTCGAAAGTTTATAGTTGGTGAAAATTTTCCTAATTTATAGCTACCATATGATCTATTATATAAATAAATGAATGCTCTTTTCCATTATGGATAGCAATGGTATGACCAATCATTGTGGGTGATATACATCATATACAGGTCGTAAAATTATAAACTTATAATAAAAAAATAATTGTATAAAAAAATATTTTAAATATTGATAAAACTTGACATTTTTATTAAATAAGTTAAGTTAAATCTGACTTTAAAGAAATCAAATAATAGATTTTGTTTAATGTCTGACTTATTTTCATCTCTACTAATGAGATTTTCTATTTCCATAATTGAAGCAAAATGGTTTAAAGTGCATATAACAATTTTAGAATATGATTACATAATTACTGTAACATAAAAATTAGTAAAAAAAAAAACATAAGATAGGGTTGAACTTAAAATTGACATTGAGGAGATTTTTTCAACCCCAACTCCTCGTATTCTCCTTAAAATGTCAAATTTTCAAAATTTTAAACTTTTTAAGCACTTTAATTATTTAGTTTATGATAAATTGACATAATTAGTGATATGTTAGAACTTAAGCACGATAATATTGGTCTATTATGTGGTTCAAACACTGAATTAGTGATTTATTAAGACTTAAGTACATGAGAATTTTTTTTATATGACATGTATTAAAAATTAAAATTAAATTGGATCGTCTAGAAATATAATGCTGCTAAATTTTAAATTATTTAAAGATAGATGTTTTTTTTTATATGGTGTGTATAGATTAAAAGTTTAATTTAAGAATAATGTTATCTAACAAAGTTTTAATATTATATGTTGGTTAAAATGTATATTTTTTTTTATAGAGTCACTTATTTTAACCGTTTAATTTTTATAATTTAAAATAGACTTTTCTAATTCTTATATTTATCTTTTTTAATCCTTTTTAATCTTTATTGTTAATTTTTTAATAATGTTTTGCGTTGGCGTGAAATAGTTCTTCGATTAATTGAAAGTAAAAAAATGATGTTTTAATGATAGATAAAAGAGATATGAAGTGTTAAAAGACCTCAAAAAACATAAAATTGAATTACTATCTTTAATACGTGACACAATATAGACAAATTTATAAAAAAAATTCAATGATAAGAACTAAAGTGATTAAAAAATTACAAATATAAAAACTAAAAAAATCTATCTTAACTTATAGGTAGATTGAAAAAGACAAATATGAAGAATAAGAATGTCTATTTTAAATTAGAAAGGGATCTATTTACTTTAATAGTAAGTATATCTAGACTTATTTTATTTAATAACTCATGTTTTAAATCAAATTTTAATGATCCAACCCTTGAATGTAAAGTTCTTAATGCATAGATCAGATTTGTAAATTTTTAAAAAAATTGAAAATCATTTGATACTTTATTTCATTTGAATTAATGAAATGAAGTATTAAATGATTTTCAAATTTTTAAAAAATTTATAAATTTAATTTATGCATTAAGAACTTTAAATTCAACGGATGAATCGTTTAACATTTAATATAGAATGAGTTATTGAACAAAATAAATTTAAGTAAACTTATCATTAGAATAAACGAATTCTTCCTTTTTAAATTATAGAACTAAAATATAAAACAAGTGAAATTATAAAATAAAAAAAACGTTGTTTAACACAATAACAAATATTTAGAATGTGTTTTGTGGATGATTTTTTTTAATGTCTATAATCATAATTTTTTAAAATCATAATTTTTGCTAAGAAAGAAATAAAGACAAATAAGGTTTGTCTTGGATTAAAACACCACTTACTAAATAAATGGTAAAGTAGTCGTTCATTCTTTTAAATTTTATATAAAAAAAAACACCTCATGATATTTTATTGAAAATAATAAAATCAAATACATTTTTAATATTTATTTTTTAAAACAAAAACAAGAAATTAAACCAGACATGATTTCTAATTCTTAAAAATTGAAAATGAAAATTAATTTTGAAAAATAAAAACTGAAAATGTTTTCTCAAACTTCACAACCCTTATTTTTTTTTTTAAAATGTTATCCAAAATATAACAAATAAACAATTATTTTGTTTAAGACAAAAAAATAATATAAAGAAGAACATTTACACTGGCCATGCTATAGACTCACCCTAGCTGCTCGGCCTTCTGACTGCCGCCTCCGAACCTTCGTTTCTTTCTCAATTCCAAATCCTCCTTCTCTGCCGTTGACCTTCGGAGCAAAGCTTCCATTTTTTTTTGTTCGTTCTTCGAATCCGAAGCAACGCAATGGAACAACCACCCACCGAAGCCGTCGAATCCTTGTCCGTTTCCGACCCTCAGATCCCTCAATCCTCCAATCCCAATCCAACTAATCAGTAAGTTTCTTCTACTGTCTCTCTTTTAGGGTTTCGTTTTCACCGTTTTTTATTTGCCCTCAGGTTGAGCCCCGAACAGAGGTTTCAGATTGTGAGGAGCGTCGGAGAAGAGTGCATTCAGGAAGACGAACTCCTTAACCTGCTCACCAAAAAGCCCGAGCCAGTTTGCTACGATGGATTCGAACCCTCCGGAAGAATGCACATTGCTCAAGTAATAAATCTTATTATTCTAAATTGTTAAATATTCATATTCATATTAGATTATTAATATTAGCCTTGAAGTTGATTTTGTCCCATAAATTTGAGGTAATTTGTTCTGCTACTCAAATTAAAAATTGATCAATCCCTATAGTTAAAAAATAAAAACTTCCAATAGCATCAAGTGCTTCTGCTAACAAAAACACTACTAGGTGGGTTCTTTTGGGACAGGTTTAGTAGTAAGTGAGTTTTGTTTGAGAGATTCACTAGCAACATTTTTTTTTGGTTCGTTTCTGGAGTATCCACCGCGGATAGCAGTGACTAATCTCCTCGCTACGTTGGAGGCACCTCAAAGGGTGGGATAGCTGGCCCCAAGATTTAACGCATTCACTAGCAACATTTGAATACAGAGACTAAAATAAGACTTTTTTTTCTTCATATTATAGGGACTAAAAGTTTCAAGGTTTAAATACCATTTTGGTCCCTATATATAAAAATGTTAAAAACGTTCCATTCTATTCCTTGTTCCATTCTAATTTTTTGTTTCCTTTTTATCTCTGTCCTCTATTGTTACATGACTAAAAGGTAAAGTTTATGAAACTATATGTATATAATAAAAACAAAAAGCGGGCTAAAATATAACGTTTTTAATTATAGGAAATTGAAGGTAAAGTTCATGAAACTATAGGAATTAAATGGTATTTAAACCAAAAATCAATTTTAAGTTTGAGAGGCCAAAAACAAATTAATCTTATATTTGAAGAATTAAAAACCTATTTAAGTCTTAATATTATTTACATGTATAAAATGGAAAAGAAGAGTGCAAGTTGATAGTGAGTAGTTGATTACATGAATTCTAGGTGAATTGAATCTTTTGTAGGTGGTGTGGCTTACATAATACTCCCTCCAATCCTTATTATAAGGCACAATTTGGAAGGAAATGATATTTTTTTTATAAGGCACTTTACAATTTCTTTAAACTTTTGCCCCCATTAAAGATTGTGAGAATATGTACTTCTTGTTGTTATGTTGGATAATCAAAAGAGAATTTGAGAAATAAATATTTTCTCTCACCTCTTAAACTCTCCAATTGTC